TTTATCTCAACAAGTGACTAAGTTTATGTTTGTATGCTTCAAGAACAGTCATGTCACTTGAGGTCAACTAGGGTCAAACTACGTTTTTGCAGATAACGCGACAGACAATGAAGCTAGAGCTTCAAAAATGGTGTCGTTGTGTTCTTCATCAGCCGAGTCGAATGATATGCAACATGATGCATTTAGGTAAATAAAAAAATAGTTTTAAGGAATTTTTAAATACACATTTTTTGTCAATTTTGCATCATGATTTTCATCGACCTGTGCTCTATATGTGATAGACGCCAGCTAAAATACCAGTGGGACATACTCGTAAACTCTAAGATGTCCAGAGCTAAATGCAGTACCTTAATATTTCACTTTCCGTCAATCTTTGGAAGACACATAATGGTTTCATTAACTCTTTGTAAAGCGCTGGAGAGGTGGCCGGCGTTACCCCTATGCCGGGCTTACCCAAGAAAAATTATTACTTTTTTAAACCTCAAATTTCGCAACTTTTTACTATTTCCACAAAACCAAGTGTTTAGGACAACACGGCCAATTAACTTATCTATGTAGCTAACAGGATATTATATATTATCCCGCGACCCACACCGCAGACAGTGTTTACCATTGCTTCACGTGCAAAGAGAGAAAATTATCGGATGTCTAACTGATTTGTTAAACGTCTAGTGACGAAACAAACAAACGTCTAGTAGACATTTCTGCCATTTTACCGCCTCGCTATTTTCACCAGTATGTGCAGGGAAACGCAATGAAACATCATTTTATTTTTATTTTTCAGTTGTATTTGGGACTTGATCTTCAATGAGCTGTCAAGTTCAGACCGATCACATTGTTTGGACCGTATTTCAAAGCTTCATCTGTCTCTGCTTCTCTTTGTCTCTTGCTCTGCTGAAAAATGTGGTATATTTTATATAAAATGTGTTTTTTACCTTTAAGCTCCCAAAAGATATCGGCGGTACGGGATAAGATTATTAAACCGCTCGTAGGTAGAAAAATCTTTTAAACGTCTCGCCTATCGGCTCGACGTTTCTCGTTGGTTTTTCCTGAATAGCAAGAAAACGGCGGCGCGCAGCGCCGCCAAATTTTCAGTACCTTCCCGGGCATCAATTTGACACCTTCACACCAAATTTCAAGTCTTAGGTCACCTTAGGTCAGGAGTTATTGAGGTCAAACTGAGGTCATGTTCGAGCAAAAATGAGCAAAAAACATGCAATCTTGAAACGCTCACCAAATCTACAGTTATCACGCAATTTCAAAGTTCTTTATATGGTCTAGTAGACAAAAAGCGGCGCTACAAAACTGCTATCTCGGATTTTCAAAATTTTTGGTTTTTGACCAAAAAATTCAAAAAATTGATTTTTTTAGAAAAACTTTGAAAAAATCCAAAATTTTTCCGAATTTCGAAAAAACCAGAATATATGTGATAGTCCCAGCGCTCTTCTATATACATACCAATTTTCAGATCGATATCTCGTTTTTTGGCCAAGTTATAGCGAAAAAACTATTCAAAAATGATGACGTCAAATTTTTGAACTCAATTTTTAGCAATTCTAGACCACGTACGGCAAAACAAAGACCACCATTGAACTCCCCGTGACGAGCTGCATCGATTCGATACCCATTTTATGCAAAAATATTAACTTTGAAATTTGACCTAATTTGACCTGACCTTGACCTGACCTTGACCTGACCTTGACCAAAACGTGATCTAAGCTGGCCCCAAAGGCTGCTTGACCCATATAATCGCATTTGTCATGTAAAATGGACCATAAAACATGTATCACACGACACTTTCATATTGTGACCCCCCGTGACCTGACCTCTGTGACCTGACCTGGTATCAGTGACCTCGAATAGCAAAATATGTGTTTGAAGAACATTTCCCCATCGATGATTTTCAATGAAATGCATTTTACTCGATTTTACAACGCATTTCTTGAAGTGCCTGTAAACGGTGAAAATTGGACCTTTGACCTGACCTGTGACGTCATCGGTTTGACCTAGGTCAATAAAATTGGGTCACAAGGTAGTTCCCCGTTGGGGCTATCCAACGCCGTTTACCGCTTGTCGCTATGTTGCGTGATTCTCGAGATCTTAGGGGGGGGCCAAAATGGCCCCCCCCAACCGGGCGCGTTGCTCGGCAGAGCCCAACGGGGCGCGGGTTAAAAGATTTGTTCTACCTACGAGCGGTTTAATAATTTTATCCCGTACCGCCGATATCTTTCGGGCGCTTAAATGTAAAAATACATCTTATAAAAAATACGACATATTTCAGCAGAGCCAGAGACAAGGAGAAGCAGAGACAGATTGTTAATCGTCACTAACGTTTAACAAATCAGTTAAACGACACCTGGTAATTCTCTCTCTTTGCACGTGAAGCAATTGTAAACACTGCCTTCGGTGCGGGATAACAACATTTTATCCCGCACCGAAGACAGTGTTTACAATTGCTTCACGTGCAAAGAGAGAAAATTAACAGATGTCGATTTGTTAAACGTCTAGTGACGATTAACAGATTGTTAAACGTCTAGTAGACATTTCTTCCATTTGACTGTTTTGTTATTTTCACATGTGCAGGGAAACGCAATGAAACATCATTTTCTTTTTCTTTTTTATTTGTATTTGCGACTTGAGCTTCAATGAACCTGTCAATTCCAGACCGTTCACATTGTCTGGATCGTTTTTCAAAGCTTTATCTGTCTCTGCTTCTCTTTGTCTCTGGCTCTGCTGAAATGTGTCGTATTTTTAAAGAAAATGTACCTATATTTTACCTTTAGGCGCCTGAAAGGAATCAGCGGTACGGGATAAAATTATGAAACCGCTCGTAGGTAGAAAAATCATTTAAACGTCTCGCCTATCGCTCGACGTTTAAAAGATCTGTTCTACCTACTCGCGGTTTAATATATATTATACATCACGCAAGGTATGCCATAAAAATGAAAAAGAGCTTACTATGCCGGACTTCCCCCGGCTTCCCCTATTATGGCAAATGACGGAGGCTGTAGCGAGTCATGTTTTTAATGCAAAGTTATGCATTTGAAAGATATATATCTATTCTCGTATTTCCGGAGACCGGATAAGTGAATAAATTTATAATGGATAAAAATATTGCAGTATAAATCCCCCCAAATAAGGGCTTCGATAATACACTACCTCGGGTTGTGCAAAGGTCTCCAGCCCAACGCACCGACCTAGCGAGGAATCAGTATTGTCCCCACCTCCGTGGTCTTTATCAAGTAGGGGCCTGCCTTTTCAGTACTCAACCCGTCTTTAAATTCTTATTTTCTCGTAGGGGAGAGTGCCCAATCTGCGCCCGGTCTCCTAATTGCGCCCTCGTCATTTTCTGTGAACCGGAAAAGGTCGATTGGTGTTTAGAAAACAATTTATTAATAACAATCATCAAAACAATATTTTTCGACCTACCGCTACCAGCGTAAGGTTGTAAGCCGCCTGGAGTGGTTTTGTAAAATGTAGTGTTTTCTTATCCTGAGCCTGCTTAATTATTGAACTGTTACTGCTGTTCGTGAGGAAGGGTTGTTAAAAAGTGATTTTAGTAGTATTATGGTATATGTGCCGGGTATGGAGAGACAAAAAACAAGACGGTACATGCCTATTGTGCAGCATTATCAATATTTTCCTGCCATATGACACATTTCGAATTGCGCCCACACAAAATGCGCCATGGCATGGGCGCATTTAGGGCTATGTCAAGACATCGAGGCTTTCAATGTTATCGTATAATGTTATAAAAAGTGGTCTTTCAATAATTGTTGTTAGAAGCCGGAGTTTGACCCCAGAAGGTCTGAGGGGCCCGTAATAACCAATAAAGACATTCAGGGGAACATTATCGCCCTTGCCAGTAAAAGGGCTAACTTTGCATGGTTCTTTGCATTATCTCAATTAGCGCAATTAGGGCATGCTGTGCCTAAATGCGCCTTTTGCAGGGGTCAGGAAAACTGTAATTTGTTCCAATAAAATGTACTTTCATTATAAGAGTGGAGGTAGATTTAATTAGAAAAATGTTTTGAATATGTTTCAACGCTAACTTGAGAGACATTGTAACAAATAGTAAGAAAATTAACCTCACTCTCATTCTATCTAAAAGTAAATTCCGGATTCGAAATAAAACAAACTTTTTGAGAAGCTGATGAGAGCTGATGATGGCGCAATGCCGAAAGCTTCTCAAAAAGTTTGTTTTATTTCGAATCCGGAATTTACTTTTAGATAGAATGAGAGTGAGGTTAATTTTCTTACTATTAGAAAAATGTTCATCGATCGCAGAGACCGCATTCACCAGACCCATTGCTCAAGCACAGGGCGCATACCTAATGGTAACTCTCCCCTACTTTTATACCTATCCGCCAAATTTTTGCGCACTGCAGAGGCCACATTCATACCTATTACATCGGTACGGTACCTCCTGACCGTCCTGACTCCTGACTATCCGGCATGTCCGGTATTGAACGTCCGGGATTTTCTTGACTGAATCTGCGTGACCCCAGTGTAGCCGATCCTGTGTATTTCTTATCAGCTGAACTTCACCTGCGTACCGATTTTATGCAAAACCCGCAAACTCGCAGATAACGCACGTAATTTCCTGGACGATCACGCATAGTGTAGCTCGGCCTTAACGATTTATTCGCCCATCCATACAGCAGGTCGATATGTCAGCTCAGCGGACCATTGCCCCGGGGGTTGACCTACTATGGCTTCCGCCCGGGGCGACTGACTCGAAGAGCTGAGAAGTGGGGGCCTTACTAACAACTGGATAAAATCAGCTGGCTGGTCAGCTGGCGACGTACGATAGCTATGGCGTTTATTGATATAAATACGGTAGTAGATGGATATGAACACGTAAAATCACATTAATAAAAAATTAATAGATAGATATTCAGTCGTTAATATCTAGCTTTGATATATAAAAAGCTCTGCTAGCGCCACCATACGGCCCCAGCTGGCAAATAATTCAGAAAATAGTACGACCCAGCGGGGTCAGTGATTGAACCGGTGCCGAGCGGCGCGGGGCCGCGGCACAGGCGCGCCATGTGTCGACCTGTGACCGCTGGAACAGGCACGCTAGTGACTGCGACAGCCGTGTGGTGAAGATCCACTGCTGAGGCCTGAGAAGTGAATATCAAAGAAGTTCAATCACAAACATTTTACCCGCTATTAACGTGTGGTGCATTGAATCAGCATACCTATATCAGCAGATTATATTCGCCGGAAATAGCGGTCTCGTGCAGTAATGCGGCTGCCGCGTCTGCGAGCTGTGCCCATAGCCAAATTTCAGAGTTTTTTATGGGCGCATTCTTTTGAGACGATCTTCATTGTAAGATATGGTCCTAAAATTGTCATTTTAATTGCAAGATGACATGCAAACTACTCTCATCAATCAATGTAGCCGTAAGTGGGTAAATATGACGTGCGCCTTTCTCATGCAGGTAATAGGTATCTAACCATAGCGGAGACGAAGCTTCCTAGTTCCTTCTATGGTCATAGAAGTCCGATTTCCTCACCATCGTGTTTGTCATGCTTGAGCGCGTCGAACGGTTATCTACTAGCGGCGAAGTAATGTGACAGACCTGACCTCCTCAGGTGACCCTTAGGAAGCTCCCGAGATAGGTAGGTATGCAAGTTGTGAGCGCTCTGGAGGTTAGGTACTATCTCCTGTAAGTTCAATCTCCCTGAAAAATTCCCTGGAACTGCGGACTTGCAAAGTTGCGACATTTTATGACTGCGCAGGATGCAGAATCGATGACCTGACCTGACCTGAGCATATGATTGGTGTCACAAAAATTTAACGCTCGCCAGCCGAGGGGGTGGTTGCCGCCCCCATATTTTGTCTTTCCTTTTTTGGCCGCTAGCTGCAGAACGCGCCGGCGATATAAAGCTGAAATTTGGTATAGGGGAAGCCGGGGGAAGCCCGGCATAGTAAGCTCTTTTTCATTTTTATTACATACCATACGTGCTGTATAAAATGTTGATATCCTGTTAGCTAGCTAAGTTCATTGGCCGTGTCTTCCCAAAAAGTCGGTTTCGTGGAATAAGTATAAGGCTGAGAAAATCGAGTTTTAAAAAAGTGTTGATTTTTCTGGGGTAAGCCCGGCATAGGGGTAACGCCGGCCACCTTCCCAGCGCTTTACAACGAGTTCATGAAACCATTATGTGTCTTCCAAATATTAACGGAAAGTGAAATATTAAGGTACGCATTAGCTCTGGAGTCTGGACATCTTAGAGTTTATGTCACTACTGGTATTTTAGCTAGCGTCTACCACATATACAGTACAGGTCGATGAAAATCGTGATGCAAAATTGACAAAAAATGTGAATTTCAAAATTCCTTAAATTTTTTTTCTTTTTACCTTAATGCATCATATTGCATATCATTCGACTCGGCTGATGAAGAAAAACACAGCGACACCATTTTTGAAGCTCTAGCTTCATTGTCTGTCGCGTTATCTGCAAAAACATAGTTTGACCCTAGTTGACCTTAAGTGACATGACTGGCTTTGTCTATGATAACATGTTTATTTTCGAAATTTATCTTTGATCTAGGTGTAAACCAAACCTGCTCAGTACCTATTATCTCATGGAAAACAGTGGTTTAGTGGCATTGCTCTCGGTTGGGGGTAGGCTTGGCCACTCGCCCGGGGTTACCCCAATGTGATAATTTTTATTTTAGAACAGCGATGTTCGAAAAAATGTCATACTTAAGCCAGCCTGCCTCGTCACCCCTCACTACAAACACTTAAATGGTCCTTACATAACATTCGTATAAATATTAGTACTGTATGGTATAACATTAACAGTGCAACATATCTCACTTTTTAGCTAAAAACCCTTAAAATATCATTTTTGCTCTATAACTTTAACAATATGCAATTTTTGTTAGCCTTAACTTTTTTGCTGGCGTTACCTTAGCTGCCACGCTGAAAGGACAAACACTTGAACATTCTATTGTGAATAATTTAGCCGGAAACGGGGTGGCCGGGCTTCCCCCGCGCCCGGGCTTCCCCCGGCTTCCCCTACCCTAGGTTTGATAGCAAGCCGGATCTTTTGACATCAGCCGCATTTTCAGGTCAGGTCAGGTCACTGACTTATGACGTCATAAGCTAGCCTCTGCACGGTCCTGAAATTCCCTCGTTGCCAAAGGAGCGCTCACCGGAAGATGAAACTCGCATTCCCTACTCCTAGTGTCCACGAGAGGTCTCACAGCTTGTATGTCTCGGATTTTTCCTAAATGTCACATGAGGCGGACTGTTCAGGCACGTGACCTCACCATTTAGTCAATGTAAGAAATATTGAAACTGTTATTTTGGCGCCAGGAGCAGTAGCGGCGGAACACCTTCAGTTAAGGGGGGGGGGGGCACTGCCGACTTTTGGTCCCATTCTTTCCATGCAACGCCATTAGGGCTAATATTAAAATGCCAAAATCAAAGGGGGGCACGGTGCCCCGGTGCCCTCCCCGTTCCGCCGCCTATTGGCCAGGAATGATCTAAAACTATCTCATGGACTCAAAATCAGGGCTGCGGAGTCGATGGATTTTCGGCGACTCCGACTCCGACTCCGACTCCGGCTTTCAAAAGCCAGCTCCGACTCCGACTCCGACTCCGGGCAGAATTGTCGACTCCGACCGACTCCAACTCCCGACTCCGACTCTGCAGACCTAGCAGGGCTGCGGAGTCGACAGATTTTCGGTGACTCCGACTCCGACTCCGGCTCGGGTTTCTAAAATCGACTCCGACTCCGACTCCGACTCCGTTCACAACTGTCGACTCCGACCGACTCCGACTCCGACTCCGACTCCGACTCCGCAGCCCTGCTCAAAATCATGATGCACTCCTTGCAAGGTCCGATGCTTTGCTTTTGCATTGCTCACCTTGTGTGACGTCATAAATGACGTCACTAATCATATTAGTTTTTTTTGTCAATAACTCCCGATCAAAGCGAGCTAGCGAGTCGGGAAAGCCACCAATGGACTTAGGAAGACCTGCCGAATCGAATAATAAGCGATATGACCTCCTTTGACCAGCTTTGTGACCTGACGGGATCTGATCTGACCTTGACCCGAGTCCCGAGGTCAACGCTTAACCCGCGCACCGACGGGGGTCCGCGCGAACTTAGAACCGACGAGGGGGGGGGGGGCGGTTGACCGCCCCCCCCTGAGATCTCGAGAACGAAGCAAGATACCGACAAGGGGTAAAAGGCATTGGGTACCTACGCGCGAGCAAGGTCTACAATTTTAAAATCATTTTCAGGTCAGGTCAAAGATGACGTCAGAGGGGTAAAAAAGTCAAAATGGCGGCGCTAGAAATAAAGCAAGTTTTTTTCTTGAATAACTTTCGAAGTAGCCAAGCTAGGAACAACCATAATGACACCATCGTGATCCTCTTGTCAATCCACATCGAAAAATACATGTGTTGACCTCGAAAGGTCCAAACTCAAAGGTAACAATTGCGTTCTCGTGAGTCGGGGGTGAGGGACAAAAGTCGAAGTTTGAGAGACACGAGGACGAGACTCTGTAAAATGGGTGATTTGTATCTTCAACGGGATATGGACGATATGTAGTGGATGAGCCGGATGGCCCGTGGGGTATCCGCAAGGCCCTATAAAGAGGGTATCCGCCAGTAGCGGCGGAACACCTTCAATTAAGGGGGGGGGGACACTGCCGACTTTTGTTCCCATTCTTTCCATGCAACGCCCATAGGGCTAATGTTAACCCTCGCATGTGTAGGGGGGGGGGGGGGGTCGGATGGACCCCCCCCATGGTTTTTCGCGAATAACTCGCGTAAAAAGCGGCCGATCGCGACGAAACTTTCAGTACCCTCGCATTGCTCAATTTTACACCTACCCTGAAAATTTCATGACCCTGACCCAAATGACCTTTGACCTGTGACCTCTTTCCCGAGACCATGTTTGGCCGGAATCGCGATTTTGCGTATGTCGGCTCGCATTAGCCGCGCGTTTGCAAGCTTTCCGTGGTTTCAAACGTTCAAACATGTGATTTGATGTTGCTCCCATACATTAGGGTGGGTGTCAAGGTCACCTGAAGGTCAGGTCAGGTCATTGACCTTTGGTGACCTCGGGTGACCTCGGTTCACTTTTTCGAGTTTTACATGTTTCTAGGCTAGTTTTTGGAGCTGAATTCGAATTTAGCAACCATTTGAACATTTACGAAGTAGTTTTGGTGACTTCGTAACATGTTACGAAGCTGTCAGAGGCGGTTGACACGTACTACGAATACCCGTCCCGACGCCTACTGGTTGACCTGACCTGACCTGACCCGACCTGGTCTAAATGCTTAAAGACATCATCTGTGATCAAAACTAACACAATATTCGTGATCAGCACCCCGAAAAACCCCTTAGCAGCCACACTTTACGACTTTCTAACAGGTCCCGATTTTCCCGATTTTGGGTCATTGACCTGACCTGGAAGGTCAACCAATGACCTAGGACCTTAAAATTGGGTATCATCGGCTTCCTCTCGTCACGGGCAACACGCTCGTTTTTTCCGCGAAGCTCTAGCTCAATCAGGGGCCAAACGGCAAGGGGGGGGTCCAACCGACCCCCCCCCCCTACACATTAGAAGCTGGAAAACGCCGCACACATGCGAGGGTTAAAATGCCAAAATCAAAGGGGGGCACGGTTGACGGTGCCCCGGTGCCCTCCTCGATCCGCCGCCTATTGGTATCCGCATTCCGATCCTGCATTAGTTCAAGGAAGGAAACTATAGAAGCGGCAGAAAAAAAATCACGATATGGAAGCTGCTACCAAATTAAATAACATAAAACCACGGATCACATAACGGATCGGCAACTCCCCCCCGCGACCTGTCTCCCCTGCCACCTGGTGGGCATTTAGGTGAACTATCTTCACTAAGGAAGCGGCCGGCCTCGTGCGTGTTGAGGGCGTCGTGTCGGAGCTAATTAAGTGATTTTTCTGCGGAACATGGTTTCTCAGCTAGCTTAGAAGATACCTATGGTATAAATGAGAATGGCAAGAATCGTTAGAGACAGGTTAAGTATTTGAGATTGTATCCTTTGTCATGAAAATCGTTGTTTTCATACCCACGTGGGCGACCTAGCGTCCATCGTGAAATGGGTAATTTTCCGATCGCTGTCATCTCTTACATATATTTCATGAGTATATTTTTGATAAATATTCATCTGCCGATTAAATTAAACCTGTAACTTTCACAAATATACTTGCATAAAGTAAAAACCCACGCCGGGCCGGTACACGGTACCAACCGCGCCGGGCCGAGGGTGTATGAAACCCCCGCCCGCCCCCACCCCCCTAACTCGGCTTCTGGGCCACGTAGCCACACGGGGTAAGCGGCATTCCAAAGAGCGTAAAAATAATGGCGGAAATACTTCAGTCATTTTTTAGGTCAGGTCAAAG